ACACACCCCTTCGGAGTCGCCGGCCCTCCCCGCGGATGCCCGCAGGCTCGGCCTCGGCCTCGGCCTCGGAGGCCTCTCCGAGCGGCGCCCCGAGCCGCTCCGACGGCTCGGCGTCGGACCTCGACGACGCCGCGGCGGGCGGCAGCGCGCGGGGCCTCCAGGCCTCCGGAGGCCCAGACCTCCGACGATCCCCACAACAGCAAGGTCCGCCAGCACGGCCGGTGGTGTCTTGTGGCTGTGGGCCTCGGGGGGCCCATCTCGAGCCCCAGGATGGAACACCGGCCCCGGGTCTGCACGAACGAAGTGGGCACGGAAAGAAGGGGTACAATGCCCAACAGCAGTGCCTGTTCATCTTGAGCAGGACTCGCTGTCCACGCCGCCGCGGCCTGTGTCTCTTGGAGACAGGAGGCCGCCTGCCCAACAGCGGTCGCTGTTGGTTTGGGGAAATATGTGCTGTTGGGGACTGTACCCACTCTTTCTGTACCCATTTCGGGCGTCCAAACCGGGGAAGGCTGAGTCGAGATCCTTGAGGGGGCTGGCTCCATTGGGGGCCGACGTCACGAAGAGAGTGCGACGCCCGAGGGGGGGGGGAGGGCGTTTTTTTTCGCTCGGCCTCTGGCGGCCCTCGCCGGCTTCTGGGGCCGTCACGGAAACTGCCCGGAAGGAAAAGTCGGTCCCCAGGGAGGGCTGAGATTTTCGGGAAGCTTGCGTTGACAAAAATCAGCACGTCGGAGATCTTTGGGACCACCCCCCTGGGGAGGAGAAGCCACCCTGACCCTTTGCGATGTCAGTCCCGGAGTTATGAAAGGGAGGACTCCTCCGTCCGCTCCCAGGGGGAGGGAAGCAGCTCTCTTGGCGGCGAAAAATCTACTGTTCATCCCCCGCGGTTGCGGCGGCTACGGAGCTGCTGCGTTTCAGTTTCTCTGCTGCCTGCTATGATTCGCGTGATGTCGAGCGGCGGCTCCGGCGATCCTTGGGCCGCGCAAGAATCTGGGCCGCGCGTAATGGGAGGGCGAGATAAACGGGGAAGGGCGAGGGCTGCAGAAAAGAGGCCCTGGGCTCCTTAGCGACCAAAAGGGAGCCTTGAGGGCCCGAAAATAACACCGTTCTCCCCCCCATGCAACTATCGCCCCCCATCAAGCGACGCCCAAGAGAATCTATGATTTTTGGCCCCGAAGCTTTGTTGATTCTTGTCGGGTGTTGCTAGAAGTGCCCCTGGCCCAAGGTGCCCCCAGAATGTCTAAGGAGGCCCCCAAGGCCTCCAGACCACCCCTCATGAGGCCCAGAGGGCCCAATTAAGGGGCCCCAACATGGAGCGGAAAGCTGGGGGGCACCTTTGGGCCAGGCGCACTTTTATCAGGAGTGAAAGAAACACGCAGACACAATGAATCGTCGATTCCCCAGAAAATATGGGAAAATATGGGAAGTGGGGGGGAAGACAAAAACCCAGAAAATATGGAGAGTTTTTTATTTGTGTGTATTTATTTGTGTGTCCTTGGGCCCCATCATTTTAGCAACCCTCGATCTTGGGATCGCGTTGTGACTTCGGCGTCTGCGGAGCAGCAGCCCTGGGCGCTCACAAGACCTGCCCTGCCCTGCCCAGCCCTCCTCCTCCTGCTCACGTCATCCGCATCAGCAAGACGAGGTGCTTCGAACAACATAAATCCCCCTTGGCGACCCGCTCTTGTCCTTCGGCCCCCATCCCTCAGGACCCCATCTTTGAACCACCGAGAAGATGGAACAGACCGGGGAGAAGGAGCAGAAGCGGGAGCAAAGGAGGGAGGAGGAACGGAGGGAACGGAGTACACAGGGGATTTTCCCAAGGATGCAGGAGCACACGCATGTGGAACGAAACATGTGGAACGGGATCGGTTATGACAAAACGCATGTGGGCCGATGGTAATCACATAACATAGTTCGGGAGTGGGGTTGCATAGATTTGACCTTGCGGGGGCAGGGGGCCTAACATGTTCACGTCATCGTCCTGTCGCTGTAAAACGTTTGTTTCGTGGTGGTCTATAGATGAGATGGTTCCCGTACATGGACAATATATTCGAACCCTTACACACTTGAGGGAGACTCTAAATCACCCCCGCGCCCCCGGCATCAATGATGATCTCGGTAAAGGCGGTGCTTTGGGGTTCTAATAATTATTCCTGTCCACTCACGCCCCCCCGTCGCCACGCCATCAACGCATTTTGGGCCACAGGTGTCGAATACAATGTCCATGTACTGTCCCTCTGAAGAAAGCACTGTACTGTCCCTCTGAAGAAAGTTTTGTAGTGGTCTATAGATGAGATGGTTCCTCCTCCTCCTCCGCCTCCTCCGCCTCCTCCTCCTCCTCCTCCTCCTCCTCCTCCTCCTCCTCCTCCTCCTCCTCCTCCCCCTCTGAAGAAAGAACTGTGCACCTTGAAATTCCACACGTGAGGAGCTGCACCGACGATGCCGATATGGGGGCGGAGCACATGCGGTCCCCCCAGGCCCCTGCCGGCACACACGCCTCGCACGCTTCGCGGCCCCATAAGGAGCTCCACCGAAGCCCCCCCTCCTCCTCCCCCTCCCCCTCCTCCTCATCCTCCTCCTCCTTCTCCTCCTCCTCCCCCTCCTCCTCCTCCTCCTCCTCCTCCTCCTCCTCCTCCTCCTCCTCGGGGAAGGGGTGGGGCACATCGCGTCCACCGGCCCATGTCGGCACAGCCCCTCACAGGTTTCGTGGCTCCCCGGGGAGCTCCACCGCAGCCCCCAGGGGGTGTTGCCGTACTTGGCGGCAGTGCTCCATTTGTATTTGTTGGGATCCTGTGTGAAAGCTCTGGTGAAGGGGATTTCATTTCAATTCACTTCATTTGTGTTCATCCTCCTCTACATCTTCCACCAGTACCAGTTGTACACGGCTCCGTCATCTGAGTGGAGACAGTCTAAATTAGTTATGACTTTCTCATTTGACAATTTCCATTTCCATTTTCTCCTCCCTCCTCCCTCTTCCCTCGTTTATGTTGGCACACCCCTGGAACATGCTTTGTGGCCCCGTGAGGAGCTCCAGTGAGGCTCCCTGGAGGGGGGGGGAGGGGGCGCACGCGGTCCTCCCGTCCACTCGGCACGCCCCTCACACGCTTCCACCCTCCTCCTCCTCCTCCTCCTCCTCCGCCTCCTCCTCCTCCTCCTCCTCCTCCTCCCCCTCCTCCTCCTTCCCCTCCCCCTCCTCCCCCTCCTCCTGGAATGTATGGTGTTGTCCCATTGGCATGGTCTTTGACGCAGTCCTCTAGGGACGCGGAAGATTATGCGTTCCACATGTTGTCGCGTTTTTCCGGTCGACCTTGCAAGCGACGGGTCCTTGACTGTCTTCTCGGACTGCGTTGGGTCCACATGCTGTGCCAGGAACGCCTCGAAAGCGCTGAGCCTCATGAATCCCAACAGACATGTTTGGGAGAGCTGGTGGCTGAAGCACGGAGAGAGTGCGAGCGTGAGAAAAGTCAAGGCACATTCGTCGGCATCTCAAGATGCCTCTTTCTTCGATGCGTGGTGCAGGCGTGGCAACAGTCTCGCGGACCGCTGGGCCAAAAAGGGGGCCCTGCTCTGGAAGGCTCCCCCCCAAAAGGTCCTCTTCATGGAAGCCTGTGCAGACATTGCTGCCAAACTGGTTCGATGGATTGGTCATGTGCACGCGTGGCTAGGAGACCACGAGGCCTGGGACACTGAGGGTGTGGTTGGCACTTCGGATGTTGTCCTTGACCTAGGATATGACACCGACGATCGTGACGCCGCAGTCCTCGAGGCAATCCTCCGAACCCGCGAGAGGTTTGACTGGAGGCTCGCCGCCCCTGCCCCGCCGCCACCCGAGCCCGAGCCCGAGCCGATCGATGGGGGGGGGTGTGGAGGTGGGGGTGATGTCTGGAAGGCCGTGGCTGTTTCCAGGGCACTCGGTGGTGAAATGCGACGTGGAGTGTCCCTGTCACCCGTGCTTGTTTTTTGCAAGTCTTGCGGGGCCTCGCTGGCCCAGCTAGTAGTGCCTGGGAAGAGCATCGCGGGGGCCTGCCTGGGCCCGAGGCACCCTGGGCTTTTCACCCAGAGGTCCCGTCTCCGTCGGCACCTCCACCCTTCGGCCCTCCATCTTCCTCCGCGCCTTTCTGTTTTTAGAAGCCCCGAGGATGAGGACATCTTGTGGTTCCAGGGGAAGCTGGGGGGCCTGTCGGAGGTGTCGGGTCCTCGGTGGGGGTTGGGCCCTCGCTGGGGCCCGCTGGCGGGCCCCCTGGGTGCCCTGCGGCCAACCGCTCTCAGGCCCCCGCCAGCTTCTACCAGTACGGGGTCTCGGTCCCCGTATTGGACCTGGGGCGAGCTGCTCGCCCACATTGGTTTGCTTCGCCCGACTCGGCGATCGAATGGGCGCAACAATGCAGGCGAGCTAAGCCCTGGCCACTCGAGGGCGTCTAGGCCCACTCTCGCCGCTGAGGCGGCAGGCGGACTTCGTCCGCCCGACCCCACACCACACCACACCACCTTCTCCTCCTCCTCCTCCTCCTCCTCCTCCTCCTCCTCCTCCTCCTCCTCCTCCTCCTCCGCCTCCTCCTCCTCCTCCCCCCCCTCCTCCTCCTCCTCCTCCTCCTCCTCCTCCTCCTCCCTCCTCCTCCTCCTCCTCCTCCTCCTTCCTCCTCTCCTCCTCCCTCCCCTCCTCCTCTCCTCCTCCCTCCTCCTCCTCCTCCCTCCCTCCCCTCCTCCTCCTCCCTCCTCCTCCTCTCTCCCCTCCCTCTCCTCCTCCTCCCTCCTCCTCCCTCTCCTCCTCCTCCTCCTCCCCTCCCTCCTCCTCTCCTCCTCCCCTCCTCCTCCCTCCTCCTCCTCCTCATCCTCTCCTCTCCTCCTCCCCCTCCCCCCTCCCCCCCTCTCCCTGTCCTCCTCCCCCTCCCCCTCCCCCTCCCCCCCCGCCAGTGTGGGGGCCAGGCACGTGGGGTCCCCCCAGCTACTGCGGCACACCCACCACAAGGACTGTAGCCCAAGAGAGAGGCTCCGCATGCGGCCCCGGGGTGGCCGAGCCCGCTCGGCGGACGTGGCCCCCGTTTTGGCACACCCCTCCACGGGATCGTGGCTCCGCAGAGAGCTCCACCCTCCACCTGCTGCGCAAGAGGTAGGGCTCGCACGCGCGCCCCCCCCCCCTTGTCACGTGAAGCACGAG